ATGAACATAGAGGAGCTTTTCCAGTGAATGTGGCCTTATGAGCAGTACATCATAGACTCAAAGAATCACAGGATAGCTTGGGTTGAAAGGGACTTTAATCATCCAGTCTCAGTACCCTGCTGTGGACTGATTTCCACCTACCAGCCCAGGACCCCATCCAATCTGGTCTTGAGCACATCCAGGAATGGGACAGCCTCTGTGCTCTGCCTCAACTTTTCTGTGCAGCCTCTGCCAGTGCCTCACCAGAAAAACATTTCCTCCTAACATCTAACCTAAATCTCCCCTTTCAGTTTAAGATCATTTCTCTTTGTTCTGGGAAGGGACTTTTTAAGAGGGCATGTAGCAGCAGGAAATGGCTTTAAAATGGAAGAGGGTAGGTTCAGACTAGATATTAGAAAGAAATTCTTTACTTGAGGGTGGTGAGAGACTGGAACAGGTTGCCCAGTGAGGCTGTGGATGCCCCCTCCCTGGAAGCATTCAAGGCCAGGCTGGATGGGGCTTTGAGCAACCTGGCCTAGTGGGAGGTGTCCCTGTCTAGAGCAGGAAGGTTGAAACCAGGTGATCTTAAAGGTTGCTTCCAATCCAAACCATTCTATGATTCTGCCACTACCAGACTTGTAAAAAGTGTTTCTTACTGCTGTTTAATAAGCCCCATTCAAGCACCAGAAGGCCTCAATGACATCTCCCTGGACCTCTCCTCTCCAGAATGAGCAAGCCAAGGTCCCCCTCTCTGTACAAGAGGTGCTCTAGCCATCTAAACACTCTAATGGCCTTCCTCTGGACCCTCTCCAATAGCTCTACCTCCTTCTTGTGTTGGGGGCTCCAGAGCAGAATGTAGTAAAACATAGAACAGACCCAAACTTCCAAAGCCAAGCCAGAGACAAAAACTTTCTCTTGCAGCATAATTCCAGGCCCCACACACAGTTTGAAGACCATGGAGAACATTGCCGATCTTGGCTGGACTGTCCTACTACACCCACAGTATATTCCAGATTTGGTGCCTTCTGACATCCATCTGTTCAGGCTGATTGTCATGACTTACTTAGCTGGTTTCATTACAGGTGACAGGACTTCATCCCCCTCTCATTCCCTCTTCTGGGGAGGGGGGAAGAAGTATGAACGACCCAACCAAGATAAGGAGGGATAATTAATTTACCACAAATGATAACAGAATATAAGACAATACGAAAAGGAGATACAGGTAATAAATACAACCAATGAGAGAGAAAGGAGTTCTGACCACGTTGCTTAATGCGCTACTGGAAGTGAAAGAGAGCTTTCTTCCATCATTGTGCTATTGTACCTCTTTTACCTGGAATCAGAAATCACATGGAGAGAACTGGAGACTTCTGTGAGCTGCAGTCTCTCCCTTCTCAGTGTATTTTCCCCTTGGAGATACAGAACTTATGTAAGAATAGCTGACACTGCCAGGAGCTGAGGCAGGAAGTGCAGCAGTGCAGCTCCCTGGCACTATCTTCCAGCACTAAACAGCTTGCTGCATGACGTCTTGATATTGAATATTTATGAAACCAGGATGCTGATGAAATCTCGACAATAGGCAACATTTTCATGGCAACAATGCCACTATAGCAGCAGTGTTTCAGTGAGTCATTTCTGCTGGTGCAGATTTTTATCACAGTGGCATGCAGACTCCTCTTCATGGCTGGCAAAAATGCATAGCTACTGGTAGTGGCTATGTTGACAAATAGCATTTTATAGCTAAGAATTTGTTCTATCAAATTGTTACAGTGCTCTTTGTATCTCTTGTAATTTCCATGGAAAGAAATAGGAGGCCCTACTTTCAGAGCAGCCTGTAAATTTTCAGCACCCCTGCAGACAAATATCCAATATCTCATAAAACTTCTCTGTAGAACCACAACAGTTGCTAGCTTGTCTCTCAGGAGAAACAGAAGTGGTTCTCCTCTCTACAGGTTTTGTCCATCACTGCTGCAGGACAGTTCATGATGGAGGGGAGAAAGATGAGTTTATTTTTTCTGAGCTTTGTAACAAAAATGATGCTAAAACTGATGGGCAAAACATTTTGGATTAACAAAAACATATGACTCTTTACCCAACTCACTGCGAAGCTGGACAATTCATTATTACAAGTACACAGAGGCAAACAATTGTAAAATTCAACGGGAGTATTGTTCTTCTGGTTAAATAAAAAAAATAGCTGAAGAGTTTAAGAGTTATTGCCAACAAAAGCAGGAAAAAATATCATTCTTTGAGTTCTAGTCCAGTCTTCGCTGACTAATTGTCAGAATGTTATCTTCCTGGGGCTGATTATGCCACTTAAGTCACACGCTGATTCTCATTTAGGTGCAGGATAATAGCATGTGTAGTTGACTCAGGCTGACTACTCCCGTCTCTTAATGTTTCTGGCATATTTGTTTGTATCATTATCATACTAAATGTTCTTACAATCATTAGGACCAGTTGTTGTAATGACATGTAATGTTAAACAACCCCTACCCTCAAACATTTACCATCTAAAACACTAGAAAATAGAATTTCTCGCTAACACTTTCATTCTTTTGTCACAGCTGGAAAAGCCTAACACAAAACACGTTCCCAAAACAAATAACACAAGGACTAAGATAACTTTGGCAAACAAAAGCTGGAAATAAAACTGCTTTCTTTGATTTAACTGCAAGCACTAGTAGTATTTAGGAATGGGCCATTAGCCTTTGCATTTCGTCAAAGTAGATGCTCCGGGCTCTCTCCTTTCATCTAATGGTCTGAAAGTCATCTCATACAGAACTAAAAGGCATAAAGCATTACAAACATTCATCCCAGAAGCAGAAATATTTAGAATAATTTTGCTCCAAACCATCTAAATATGTTGATATTTTCCATTTGATAGGAGTGAGCAGTATCTTCCTTCATTCTGCTATGCAATTACATGTAGCAAAATACAAGAAATAACTGTACCAACCAAGAAATTGTCCCAAAGAGGTGGATATTTTTTCTAATCTTTCTAGATTTTAAAGACTTACTTCAAGAAAACATTATTTTCAAACCTTCAAAGTCTCAGTGAGTTTTTTTCCCCTGCTTCCTCTCTGCTTTTTTCTTAGCAACTTAAAATGCTTGCATAGCACAAAATAAATAAATAAATAAATAGATAAATAAATAAATAAATAGATAAATAAATAAATGAAGCACTTATTTCATTAGCAATTGCACACAGACTGGGAAAAAGGAAAATCTATCACATATTTGATACTCTGCTAATTCCAGGCCAAATTTTACTACTTCTGATATATTGACATTGGCTAGCAAAAACTATGCTTCTAATTAACTTTCTGCATCCTATCCTGGAAATAAGGGTCTTCTGGGTCTGAATGGACCAAAGTTTGCATTTGGTTTCTTAAGGCAGGAGCACTGCTTTTGCACTGAGGGTCCAGTAGTAATGTACTGTGTGAAAGTAGAAGAACTGTGTGACTTGGATCTTTATTCTCTATTTCACTTCAGAGACCAGAACATAACAAATATCAAAGAGATGCTTACTGGGAAAGGCCACCCAGAGGAATGGTTTCTGCTTGCATACTGTAGGACTACCATGACTACTACTACTAGTATGGAATCCAAAGACTCTTTCCCTCTAATGACAGCTGAGGCAGAGACTTAGCAAGCCCTTGTCTTAAAGAGATACTCCTGATCTCCTAAAATGCCTGGATTTTATGCCCATACAAAACATCACTTAGTTCTCTAAGATACACTGACTGAAAGCAAATTCCCATTTCAGCAGTTCCTGAATGCAAGGTCTGTGAAGAACCCCTATTTGCTCTGGAATGAGCAAGAAATGAGAATTTGGCCCCAAGTTTAAAAACAATTCTGAATATTTTTTTTTCTTTTCATGGGAATGGAATAGAAAAGCAATTTCTTTATGCTGGTTGTGGCAGATACCTTTGCCTATTATTTCCCCTTCTACTAGACCGCTGCACACTATTAAACCAATAATTACTGAAAAGAGGAGACCAAACTGTCCACAATAGTGCTAAAATGCACAACATTCTATTCTGAGTTTATGATTGAATGCTTTGTGCTCATTATACAGCACTATGGATTAAAGCATCAGATGTAGGAAATTGGAACGTACTGTCATTGCTTTATTAACATCAGGTTTATAAGCACAGGAAAAAAATACATGAGAAAATATTCAGGATGGAAAATTGTATTATATTTTTAATGCTTCAATATACAAGGTATCAAACATGGCAGGAAGGCACAAAGTCTGGAATTTTTCTTCATATCCTTTATCAGAAATCTGTTAATACTTTTCACATACATTCTGTTTAATGCAGCCTTTTTTTTTTTTTTCCCTCAGAAGTACGAAGAAATAACATTTGCTAGAAATATTTTATAGATGAACATTTCATACACCACGGAGTGGAAATATTATCAAGTGACTTGCCCATGTTCCATTGAGAGCTAATAGTCGAGGATGAGCCTACCTTTTGCACTTGTCAAATTGACCCCTGCCTCCTGGAGAAGGTTTGCTGCTATGGAAATACTGTAACTTGAAATTTAACTCATAGGATACCCTTAGCAGAAGGGTAAATTCTTTCTTACATAGTTCAGGATATCATATTGGGTCAATATGATGCTTTTATAGTCTCAGTGTGGCTGAGATTGTGGGGCGCTAAATCTAGTGAATTAGATGTAGTTTGGTATAAATATGTGAAAAGGCTTACTGCTCAAATGGCAAAAGTGTAGGGAGGTTTCACTTTTCAGTAGCTGGCAGCCTTCAGCATAGTTAAGCAAGCTGTCCAAGCAGCTTTTGTATCTCCATAGGTTCCCACTATTTTAAAACTGTGCTGCCTTATCAAACGCGTTGGCTGCTTGCCTGAGTCATAAAACACAATCCATAATTTTCTAACACTGAGGTGGAAATTTCAGCATAGTTCAAGACCTCTACTGGCTTCTTCTTATAGTCTGACACATACCAGAAGTTCAAATTCTCCCATCAGTAATGTAAAAAGCGTTCTCCCACTTACTTGCTGCTCAGGCAACGTCTCAGTGAATACGAAGCCCCTCCTCCACACGTGCGTGAACATTCACTCCATGAACCCCAGGCATCCCACAGTGAGTCTCGATCTTCCTCTGAGCGAGCTGTTCTGGAGCTCTGAAAAGAGGGAGAGATAAAAAAAAAAATTACAAAAAACCACCTCAGGGACAAAAAATATTGCTGCTAGCTTAATTCTGTCTTTTTACTGGATATCGTTATTGTCACTGAAGACGCTGAATAAATCCATTCTCTGGCATTTCTACAGACTGGCAGTTGCTCTTCTAGTGAAGAGTGCTGTATGAAGTTGCCTTCATCTTTTGAGTATCATGCTCTGTCTCAGTTTGAGACTGGTGATGATTATTATAGAAGAGTACTTTGGGCAACAGCGAAGCAAAGTATTTTCCTGATTAAAAGGAAGAGGGAGAGAAGGAGTGCTGTAGACATTGAAAATTGAACTTCTGCTGCTGAGTTAGGAACTATGAAATTGCATACTAAAAAGTGCATTCCAAGGTGCTGCTCAAGAGAAAAAGAATTGCAGCATAGCGAATCCACATTATACAAATGCATTTAACAAAAACTTTTCATGCATTCATCTTAAGGAACTGGAACTATCATTACTTTTTCTCTGTCCAAAGATCAACATACCTATGCATGACAGTGATCAGGCAGTATACTCAGTCAAATGTGGCTGTGGGCAGTCACACACTGAATTCTGCACTTCTACTTGTATTTGGAATAGATGAGAAGACAAGTGTATGAGCAAAACTTTGTACATCTTCACCAGAGAAAAAACAGCAAGCAACATTGCACTGCTAGAACTTGTTAGAAGATTGATGTCAGCTGTCAACACTCAGGGATTATTTCAGAGAGAGATAGCACAACACTAAAATTGTTTCATCTTCACTGAAGCTGTGTAAAGTTTTGTAATGAAATCTGAAACCCACTGAAATACACCAGTATTCAATACTGTTATTCATCGGCAAAAAAGGAAGTGTTGGTGATGGTTTAGGATTGTGAGCAGTTCTAATATATATCAGTGTAAGGGAGATACTGAACTCATCACGTGATGCTGAGATCCAAACTGAACAATCTTTGTCTGTAGAGGAAAGGGTTAAGTCTGGCACACTAGGATATGAAATGCACGTTAATTGAGATTTACCGAGGCAAGAGGTTAACTATTCCATTTGCTTTCACAAGCCAAGAATGCATTATATAGTCTTACCACCAATACTAAGAGGTATTTTCCAATGTGTAAATCACTTAATCCTACAAAAATTTTCAAGAGCATTTCTGAACACCCACTAGTGTCATCTGTGATGCTAAATAAATAGCCAGGTATAAGACTACCTGAAGTGAAGGGCCATGTCTTTTATTGATTGTCTCTATACTCAGTCTCACATTGAATCTGTTTCTCCCACAAATAGAGAGCCAGTGATCACAATGTTGTATACATTTGTACCCTTTGATACTCATCAGTTCCATACATCTGAAGGATAAAAACACTGCAAGTGCTGTTCCTACCATCCCCTGGGAGTCTTCTGTCCTGGAGTGAATCATTAGCTCACAGATCAGAACTTAGCTTACTCAAGTTGACAGAGTAATTATATTGTTTTATTCATTCCAAAAGCCAGATAGACTGGCAGAATAAATTAAGAGTAACTAAATGAGAGGAGCTGATCATTTTAAAATTGCTTAACTTAGCTCAGACTGTGTGCAAATTGGCAAAATTCAATGGATAAATTGTCTGAAAGAAAGAAAAGTAAGATTTGTAAGACACCTGTTCTGCCACTTTCTCTTATTTCCCTCTCTTTCCATTCTTTCTTCCATCAAGGCACAGACCAAACCTGATCTTGTCTGTCTGTTTGGGCAGAGTGGGTTTTCCTCCCTGCAAAGAAACCAAACATGGCCGTTTCTTTTGACGAGTTCTTTTGAAGAGTTCAGTGAGAGGCTAGTATCAGCCAGGACAATGGCAAAATAAAGCATCAGGCCATCCACCCAGCTGCAACTCCCTGGCACTTCATAGTGGATGTCTGCGGCATTCCTTATGTTGCTGTTCATTCACCCTTCAAAGGCACGTGTACTTCATTTTTTAACCAGAGCATGCATTTTAGACGGCAAATATACAAATGACCCTTACAGTCTATTTGGCTGACACAAAGAAAGCCAGTCCTTTTGAAAGACCTTTAGATCTGGTTCAAAGAACACTGAGGTGAAATGAAAACTGTCATCAAACTAAAGGGGCTCAAGAAAAGAGCATTAAAGATAAGCTGAGTTTTAAAAGAATGACTTAAAAGGAACACCAAACAAATTTAAAAGGTTTTTTTTTTTTTCCTTTTGATTTATTTTTAAATTTTTCAAATAATTCCTGTGAATGAAGAGGACATTAAACCAAGCATACAGAAGGCAAGCTCTCCTTTATGAGCTCTAGTGAAAGTCCTCTACTACTCTGATTCTGCTGCCCCATTGTTTGCATTTTTGCCAAAGTGGACTGTGCTAGCTGTGCTGAGTAACTTGATGATTCTGCGTTGTTACCAGCCTCCATTTTCAGTTTGCTTCATGGCATGCAGTTTGTAATGGTATTTTAAACACATACAGTACTTCCTTCTGCAAAACAGGTTTTGAAAGGTAGTTTAGATGAGTAATTGAGTCAGTTTTAGGTTTCCGTAACATTTAGTATGATGTAATTTTTCTTTGGATCTACTGCTAGGAAAAAAAGCATGAATTAATTTAGTCAGTGAGACATAATGTTGGATGTGTCTAATGTATGAGTGACAATGATTTGACACTATCAGTTTATCTTACCTTTATTAAAATGCAATATGATTTATTTTCAACACAATAATTGCAAGGGTAAAGGTAAAATCTAAGGTAAGGTAAGTGTTCAAACTCAAAATGTGGCTGATCCCCACAGCTGCAGAAGATCACACATGCAACAATTTTACAGATGCCATTCATCATCTAGATACAATCTCACTAACAGTTAAATGTGAGACAAAAGGATCAGGATGCCAGTTTACCAAGCTTATTTCCGCTGTTTTCTGAAGGGTATTTTTAGAATAAAACTTTATGTTTGTACTTTTTTGCAGCTAAGAAAAAAATCTGTATTTATGCTTTTACTTCACAAGGAAACTAAAAAATGGGTTCTTGCCCAGGTTGTTTAGCACTGGTTGAAAGCCCAGTCAAAGACATAATTAAAAAGGGTTCCAAGGTAAAATCACATAAACCAAGTACTCTTACCTCATCACAGATTATAAGCACCAGCACAGCTAGACATTCTAAGGGTCCAAATTTTTCAGAAATAAGTTGTACTCCCACCCAGAGGGGAGCCATGTGCCTGTTATTTGCATTCCGAGATTTGTTATAAGACCTATATATTCCCAGAAAGCATGTGATCTCAAGCTGGAACAGGCTCCAGGTTTTTTTTAACAAGTGGAATAAACATAATTCATTTCAACTCTATCCACATTTAATGTTAAAGAAAGTAGTGTGGTTTTCTCTCTTGCAAACTGCACAGTTAAGATTGTGCCTGAAATTCTAGCAATGCCTGAAGAGCCAAATCTGAAGAAGATTCTGGATCTACTGCAGGCTTAAGGAATATCTACCATTACAAGCTAAGGATTCACTGCTCAGTACAAATTTTTCATAAGGATCTTATACCACTAATTCATAGTTTTTACCCACTTTCAACCAAGCCATTTAAGCTGAGAAACCTACATGAAAACATGAAGTTACTGTCACAAAGAGTAAGCTGGGGAAAAAAATAGAGAAGAAAAACAAAACAACCAAACAACAACCACAACCGCCATCACCACCACCAAAAAAGCCCAAAAACAACAACAAAAAAAACAGAGGCAGATACATACTCCAAATATGTGAGAAGGAAAGTAGCCACCAGCTGAAGCTTGCTTTAAGTAATACTTCTCTTTTAGAAGTCTATCCCTGCCCAGGTTAGTACCTTTGAAATGTCAGTATATGCCAAAGGAGCAGAATGCATACACTCATACAGGTTCATTACACCCTGCTGCTGATTTCAAAAGAGCTTCCTTCCCTCTTCTGTCCATCCAGGTGGATCTCAGTCTGAGATTCCCAGGAAACACTCACTGTTTTGTCCTGACATCTACAGCATCAGTGGTAGAAACGTTACTCTCTGAATGCAATTTTCTTATAAATGACCTACATAAAACAACAAAAAATCAAAATCAGCTCTTTCTTTATACCTCATTACTCTAATACACAGCTAAGCTGAGGTTGATCCTGCAGCTAACACCAGTACACCAGCTGTAGAGGAAAGGGGGATGAGGATGCCCAAAATAATCCTCAAAGGAGAAGGAAACCCTATGCATTTAGACAGGAAAGTAAGAAGGATCATGTGTACAAAATGAAAGGATGAAGAAATGAACTCCTTGTCAGTGGATAAATCATATTTTTGAAAATCTTAAAAAAAGGGGGGGGAGTTATTTAAAATATGAGCTGAAAAAAGAGCTTCTTAGAATATAACAAAATTAGTCTGACTAATAAGAGAGCTTGGTGTCCAATTTTATTGTAAAAAATTCTAGCATCAGTGTTTAATGGTTATTTCTAAATTACTGAAGTGTTGTCAAGCATTCATGTTGTATTCAGACTATGAGCTGAATAACAGGCCTTTCCTACTCTCTCCATTAACACACAGTATACACACAGAAATCTTTTACAACATCTGGAATAGTATGTGAAAAACACAACAAGTGTCACACATCTTTAAATCACAACAGCTGCCTGACCATCCAGGAGCTGCATCCCTGATGAGAAAACCATGTCTCTTTCAGAAGCATGTGTGTACACATGTGTGTGGGTGCACAGAGGGAGAAACACGAAAAGTAGCAAGACCTCTGCTCAGATCCTGAGACCTATAAAAGTAGTTCAGCCTTAAGAAAATAAATGTCTTAGTCACATACTGGAATTTAATTTAAAATTTTGCTTGGAACTGTGGTAATCCCTACAGAAGCCAACTATTTGTCAGTGTCACACAGAGAAGAGTGTGTATAAATGCAGATCATATTATTTCATTGCTCTTCAGTTACAAAGGTTTCCAGTCTTCCTCCTTCTTCAGCAAAATGTTGCTAAATTCATATTTTTCAAGACACTGGTATGTTTCCTAGATTAAACAGCAATATAGATAGCGAAAAATGCAGTTAACCTGTTGTTGGACTAAGGCACTGATACAGAGTTTAAGCCACAGTTATTTCCCAGATGATATGCACCGCTGGGTTTGGTTAAGAAATTTGGATCATCTGTTTTTTATCAGACCTCTCTTTTTAGGGGTATGATGAACTGTCAGTGACAATACGCACGGCTCTTCTGAGGCCACTTTTCTTTTGCTACTGTGAAAATGATATTAGGGACAAAAAAAACAGTTATCTTTCTCTGTTATCTGGTCTCTTTGCCCTTTCTTTTCAGATACATCCAAGCACATCCCTGTATAAATACTTGCCAAGCCATAGATTCTCTTTATTTTGAGTAATCTTTGATCATCCTTTGATGCTAGCTTGTCATTGGAGTCAACTACATAACTTCCGAGGGTACAGAAATGTCTGTAGAGAAACATGAAGAAACTGCTCCCAACACTTACCTATGTGAGAGCAGGAGACAAGGCCAGTAACCCCATCCCTTTTAGGAAAGTTGTATTTCTAAACTTCAACTAATGTAAATATATGGTTTATGAGATTTCATTTTCACAGGGTTGTGTATCTTTGTTGCATTCCAACCAAAGTAACTGATGGATTACAGTTCAGATAGGAAACTGCTTGGAAATCTCTGGCTTTTAAAAAAAGCCAATGCTGAAAAAAAAATTACAGCTAGTTGAATTAATATTGGTAATTACTGTCAAACAAAGCGTTGACATGCAAGACATTTCTGACTAGCTGTGGAAACATTTCTAAGCTATTATCTTGGAAATATCATGAGTCAAATTTCTTGGCATGTCCAGTTTCAGTGCACATGTACAAAAAAACTATTTAATGTATCTAGGCATAAAGTTCCACATCACTTTAAATAGTACTGTATAACTGAAGCACATCTGCTCTTCCAGTACTATTTTGAAGAAAAGATTTTTGAAGATGAAACCTATCCTGAGAGCAGAATAATTCACTGGAAGCACTAGGATTCCTCATGGCAGTAGTTGCCCTTCAGTTCTCACTAGATATCTGCCCCCTTCATGCAACTCATTCAAGTAGGGCTCCTCATGGTAACCTGAGCACTATAACCAAGGGCTGAGTAGGAATGAACTTCAATCTATTTTCCCAAACTGGCTGTGTCAGGGTCAGGATTAATTAGTGTTGCTCAGCTGATGTGACAGATAGCTCATGTTCCCATTACCCTGACCATATCCCATGAAAAGACAAAGAACCTCAGCCACAAGAGCTGCCAGCCAGACACCATGAGAGGGACCACACAAGCCAGTAATGCCTAGCAGAATCCTTTCCAAAGGAAAGGGTGTTCTGATTCTGTGGTAGTTAAAAGAAGATGGAAAAAGCAAATGCTGTACTGCCCAAGCTGCCAGACCTGCTTGCTACACCTGAGGTGCTGAGTGACCATGGGTACAATTGTTCCTGTGATTAATTGCACGCTATACCCTACGGCCAAATCAAAAGGATGTCTGTTCAAACTTCTGCTAAGAAACTGACTTCTCTGCTAAGCAATCTGGAAAGAAGTAGCTGCAGTAAATATCAGAGCTCTTGAGATGGAGTGGCTGTACTTCCTGCATGGGCTCCCTGATCCCTGGAGGGCCATGGCAACCTCCTGTCTAGTGTAAGGTTGCGAGCAGAACAGTCCAAGCCCATTTGCCCAAGGCTTCCAGTCTTGGAAATTAGCTTAGGAACTTTTGCCTCCTTCGCATTTGCAAGATCAGGCAAAACACCTGTGAAGAGCTCATGAGAGTACTTCCTATGGAAAGCCCCTGGCACTGGAAAACTGGAAACCCTTGATTTGAGTGACTATGCCGCAAGGAAGGCACTGGCACAGAAGCACACATGTGTAAGGGTATATACTGCACTCCAGAAAATTAATTTATACTCAGACTTTGCCAGTACAGACAAATGGGTCAGGATTTATTTTTTCATTTCAGCTTCCTAGAAAGGAATAGACCAGGAAAAAAAAAAAAAAAAAAAATCCTAATCTTTTTCTAGGTTGTTTTTCATTTATTCTTTCTTCAGAATCTAAACCAGATTCTTGAAAGAAATGCGGTAAGATACCTTGATGATAAGGTGAGAACTGGAAATCTCATTGAGATCCTCTTGCAGTTTTTCAGTGTTTATTTTGGTCCTATGAGCAGAGGCAACAGGAAGAGAAATAGGTGGACAATTTTTCTTTACTACGAGGAAAGACACTCAATGGACATACTGCTAGCTCAGCTCTCAGGGACACAAGTACAACTTTGCTGTGGTATTCCATCCTGACCTGAGTTCTTTTTGTCTTTTATTCTTAAACAGCGTAGTCATGCAAGGCAGGCTTATCACTATGAGTAGATGTTGAACATATCTGCGCCCTCTGGCAGTCATCAACGCTGCATTAACTGCTCTCTGAAGGATCAAAACATTGCCAGTGTTGGCCACATTGTATTGTGGAATTCCTCCTGCCTTCAAGCAAGTCACATATCTATATATATACAGTCTTCTAAAAAGTATCCCCATGACCCATCATAGTCCTCTATACATGCCTCTGTACATGTCTTCTAGTCTGCAAGAAAAAAAGGAAGAAATGATAAACAGTCATCTCAATACTTTAGGAGCTAAACAGTCAATCCCAAGGCTGGGCTGGAAGTTGTATCCCGGGAGAAATGTGCCAAACGTGAGCTCATTTCTTCTTCTTAAAGGGTAGCAGCCAGCCAAGGGGATTGCTGGCAGAGGATGGAGCTGACACCATATCACTTCAGCACACTACACGCTGCGCTCCCTATAACATTTTATAACAGTGTCTTATAAAACTCAGATCAGTCCTATCTCTCACTCCAGTTACTCATATGAAAATATACACCAGGGGAGCAATGCGAATTCAAGAGCTCTTTTTCTTGCTCTCTCAGACCCAAGTTATAACACCCTGTTGTATTTAAATCCTGCTGTACTGGTGTAAACACCAGGCATGGGTGATCCAATACAGAGCAGGTCCAAGCTGGCTCAACCTCAGACTTGTCGCCTAATTGACTCAGAACAGTTTTTGAGGCTAGGACTGGTTCAGATGCAGGGTGGGTGAAATCACTTTCCAGAATTCGGAACCCACCCAACAGCACGGGTTCAAAAGTGCATCTTACACTCAAAGACGTCGGGTTTGCTTTTCACGTAGGAAGGACTGGGGGC